AAACCATGCAGATGAGGACACGGCCGGCGCAGAGAGAAGCAAGAGGGTCCCAGTAGGCAGCAGGTCACCCAGGACAACAGCTCTGAGACCCTGCAGGAGTGGCCATGGGATGATGTCCTCTGCCCCCAACACCCTGCTGGTGGCTGACATTTCTATCTGACAGTCACGATGGGAAGAGACAGATATCTACAAGGTCAACCCCGGAGCAGCAACGCCGTGAGGAACCTAGTGCCTGGTGAGGATGGCGCCATCATGTTCCAGTGGGGTCCACATTTAGGCGCAAACCTTTCTGGAAAGCAGCCCCTTTCCGGGCAGGCAGAAAAGAGGCAGGAGGGCCTCGTGTTGCTGTACCATGACGGAGGGTGAGCAGACTTGGGGTTCAGGCCTCTCTTGCGTCCTGCTGTATCTGTACACATACACTCAGCTAGAATAAGACCTTCAGATCCAGAAGACCCCTCTGGTCAAGGGGAAAGCAACTTGCTCAAAGTCACCTGGGTAGGGGTCCCTCAGACTGATGACCCCTCAGCAGCACAGTCCTCAGTCTCACGAACCAGAAGCACTACCCTGTTGGGGTCGGGTCCTTCAAAGGGAGGGTCAGGGAGGTAAGCCTGTGGAGGATGCCTGTCATGAAGTCTTAAATGTTCCCTTGTCCCCAGTCTAGAATCTCCTCAGGCTTCCTATCACCCTAAACCTTCCTGTTACTGTCAGGGTTAACTTTTAGGATGAAACCTGTGGCTGTGTTAACCCAAGCATACAGAACAAAAAAGAGCACCTCATCACCTCCCCGGATTCCCTGTGCCCCAACCCTGCAGGCCTTCGTGGGTTTACTAAATCCTTCATGGTAACAGAAGTACCTGTGCCCAACTGCACCACGAGGATCTACTGGCTCTGTTTTGCCCCCAACACTTGCCCCCTGTCGACCCCCAGCAGAGATCCTGACTACCTACTCAGGAAAGCTAATCTGGTGGGAACAGCTTGATCCAGCTGCTCCCGAAGGCATCTGGCCTCCCATCCTGGGACCGAGGGCCCTCTCACCATCTGATGGCCTAACAAGGAAAGCCACTCAACTCAGTACAAGTTTAGCACCAGGCTTAAGCCTCGCTATCACTTGCTGTTGCTTCTGCTTCTGGCCAGCAAACTTTGAAACCTCCAACAGCACAACCGAGTCAGCTGCTGCCAGAACCACACCTCGTAAAATAAAGTCGGAACTTCTGAGGGTCCAGTCCCATCACTTGACTTTAAAAGCTACACAGGACTCCCGGGCACAGCAAAGGTGACACTTCTGTTTCAGGGCTTCATGCTTTGAGAGGTTCCCAGGTTTCATTTAAGCAACGGGTGAGAAATAAGATCAAGTGATAGGAAGATGCCTCTGACACGTCTCAAAAACCCCTACATACACATTTATAGCAGTAGAAGAAAATAAATTAGGTCTAACTGGGCCATACAGTTAAACAGTTTTATTTTATTTTCACTAGGACTTTATCCTTACACCATTCCTAAGAAATAAGAGTCTAGCTCAGCCAGAAAGGGTTTCTTTTTCCATGAAAAACAGCATTCCACTGCCAGTGGTTCTAAGTCGCCTTCTGTTGGGTTATGGAGGACGGAAACCTTTATAGGGGGAGCCTCTCGCAGAGCGGCTGGTGGATTTGAATTGTGGACCTTTTAGTTTGCAGACAGGTAACACTGTTCACTATGCCACCAGGGTATCTTTCCCATTTTATAGATACAGAAACCCATTTGCCAGTTTGGTCAATTTGGTCTGACTTCCAACTGGACACAAGGACAGTACAATGTCATGTAAAATGAAAAGTGACTGCAGGGCTTCCTTCCCATATCCTTGAAAATACGACAAGTCTGGACAAGCGACTGCCTATTCCGACCTGGCAGGGTTGCCAGGTTTAACACCAAACCCCACACAGGACACTCAGTTACACTAGAACTGTCTGCAGCTCTTAAAAATTCCCGGAGGCCTTGGCTGTACCCAGTGCTAATTAAATCAGAACCTCTGGGGATTCAGCCTAAACTTCAGAATTTAGAAAGCTCTTTCCCTTTTAAATATGACAGCCCAGCTACTTGCTGAAAGCACAATGGGGTGGGAAGAAATTCTATCAGAAACCCCAGAAGGGTCCCTCCCTTCCTACTCCAGGCCCTGGAACCTGCCCTGGGCCGGTGGGGCACACACCCACCCCAGCCCGAAGTAGTTTTGAAGCTCCAAATCAAAACAACATACGTGATCTGCAAAAGGCAATCTGATAGGCCTTTTGCCCTCATCGTGTATGTGTGCGTGCACGTGTGGTCCTAACCTCTTAGAAAGCCCCCTCCTCTCTTTCCTGTCTTTAACTGTCTTTCTGCAGGCTCTGAGTGCTTGATCTTTGCTAACAAACCAGGCCTGGGAACCTCTTAGGACCCTAACAAGGTGCCTTGTGTTTTAATAAACTTTTTTCCCTTGCTGGCTTTAAAAAAAGAAGGGAAAAGGCCAACTTCACAGGCTAGAGGCTAGGTGTTACACGATTCTGGCTGAAGAGAGTAAAAAGGTTGGATTTAGTTTCTTTAGAACAAGCCTAATCTCTCATTCTGAAGTCTGGGAGCCACCGCCCGCCTCCTTTCGGAGATCACTGCACACTGCGCCCTGGACCAGGCCGGGAGTCCGTCTCCGCGGCGCCCCCTGGAGGCGGAACTCTGCAGAGCCGCACAGACCGACAACTTTTCCGACCCCTCAAAGCAGAAATTCTACCCCACACTCTGAATGACCATGAACACTGAGGCCTCTGCGGCTTTCTCTGCAATTTCAAACCAAAGCAGCTTTAAAAACTCCAAACCATGAACGGAAATCCAAAACCTCTGTAAATGTCCATTAAAATTAATTAAAAAAAATAAAAAAAAAAAAAAAAAAACAAACCCTCCAAACCAGTTGCTGTCAAATTGGTTTTAACTCACGGAGAATCCCAGTGCTTAAGCACTGTCACCAGGCCTTTCTGCCGAGGTGCCTCTGGGGGACTTTCAACCGCCAACATTTTGGCTTGCTGCACTGCCAACCTTTTAGTGTGCTGTCAATTGTTCACACCACAGAGGAACTCCTAAAGCAGCCAGCAAGCACAGATAATGTTTATCTCAAACTCCTTTTCTCTGAGGGAAGCCTCTCATACACCAGGACTGTCCACCCCTTAACTTCGGTGGCCTCTCAGCAGGACCCCTAAGGACACAAAACCCAGGCCAAAGCCTGTCATGTTTCATCTTCTTCCCTTAATTCACAGTCATTCCTTACCACTGGCAAATTCTCCAGCGACTCACTCCTCATTGCTCCTTCCTACTGCTTGCTTTTCACTCTCAGTAAACCAGGGAGGTCAGTGACCTAAGGGGCTAAGAGACTTGCCGACTGACAGTGGCCTAGTCCTCTTGCTGGGGTGGCCCCAAGCCCTGGGCCGGACAATCCAATACTATTATTAGCTGCATGAAATAAACACCATTCACGTGCTTCTGAAGAGATCCACCAAAATCCAACGGCAAAAGTTGAGGGGTCCTGGCCACAGCCCTGCCTTTGTGGGAAGGGTACACATCCAGTGTCTCAAGTCCCTCTTCACTCTCTGCAGTCCTCTCTTCTCTGTGGACACCCCTCCATGCCCCTCCCAACACATGCCCAAAACTTTCTTTAGATTCTAGAAGTACTGATGAACACAAGAAACTGTGGCGGGGAAAAGAAGACTATTCTGTTTATACATATTTCAATGAAGGAAACGAGTCATGAATCATAGAAAACTGAGGCAAACTTAGTTCAAAGTAAGTACCATTATCTACCCTTTAGTGCTTAGAACAAAAGAGTAGATTCAAAATCTCAGAGGATGGAAGACTGAGGTGTCCCCGGCCATGTCCCCAGACCACACAGCATTCACATTCACCCCTCTGGCAGAGAAATTAATACAGGTGCTTCTAACAGTTGGAATGAAGGGCTCCTGATACCCAGCTGAGCCCAGATTCTGAACATTCAGACTCCAGACCTGTCACTAGCAGGCTGTGTGGGGCACAGGGCTCACTGACAGCCCAAGAGTTTGCTGGGCGAGATAGTCCTGACGTGCATCTCGCTCTTAAAACATTAACGACCTGAGGAGGAAACCACAGGGATGTGGACCCCTCTCCACCTCGAAAACCACATCTTCGGTTGCCTAATGCCAACAACTGCCTTAGACACCTCTATTCACCCACGCCCTTTTCTCTTTTCTATCTTTTCCTTTTCCATCCAGGTGAATGCTCATTTTTCACTGTCTTAAAAAGAAAAATGAAATAGAAAGAGGAGGTAGGTGAGCAGGGATAAGGAAGTGCTTACTTGGAGAACTTAAAAGAAAAACACCAAGGACACTGCAGAGCGAAGCTGTGAGCCGCAGCCGTCAGCTCCCCTGAACCCCCACATTCTCAGGCTGCACTGCCCAGGCCACACACAGGGATCACGGCCCGAGCACGGACCACGCGCCAGGGGCGCCTTCCTCCCCTCTGAGCTCGAACCTCTGGACTGGACAGGTGCCCTGATCCAGGATGAACAGACTGGTAAGGACACAGCTGTTGAGCATGCAAACACCTGGAAGACAGAATTCTGCTCGCAGAGGGGACAGGGTAGGTTAAAGGCCTCTCTCACTACTTTTCATCCTTATCCCCAGAGGTAGAATCATTTTGTCTAGTACCTAAAATGTAAGGTTCCAGTTCTTACTACTACAGTACCTCTTGACAGCAGACCTTGCCCCCTCCCAGCTCCGGTGCCCTCTGCCCCACGCAGAGGTATCACAAAGTGTATCAACAGCTGACCACACAGGTATCACCCACGTGCTGTGAGCAGAGCACACAGCCACACGCCATGCCTGCCCCACATACACACCAGTACATATCACAAGAGGTGGCCAGAGATACATTTACAGTGTGGGTGTGAGGCCCGGGCCTGAGCCTTGGGCTTGCATCCTCGGGCAGGGTCTACCCTTTGGTCCCTGGGCCGCTCTGCAGCCAGCCCCCTTGTCTCAATGTTTGATCTCCAGGATAGAGGGGTTATGGTCCAGGATAGCGAGGATAATCTTGTCCATATACTGCCTCAGGCGAAAGTTGATTTCCTCCTGCTCCTTCAAGGCTTCCATTAGCTGAAGAGGATGGGAGAGAAATGATCAGTTGTGGGGCCGGAGGGGGTGAGGGCCCAAGTTTGCAAAACAGAGGGGCTCAGGAGGCCAGGGGCAAGGTATCCCCAAGATCGACCTCAGCTCCTGGATGCCAGGACAAGTGTCTATGGGGGTGGCTCAGCCCTTATCTCAGGAGTTTTAAGTAATCAGAGCCTGGGTCCCACCTAGAGAAACAATTTTAATCTATTCTAACCTGTTTTTATCTGTGCACAGGGCCCCAGGTATGGGTAATTTTTTTGTAAAGGCTGAGAACACTGACCTAAAACCATTTGTAGTCAAGACTGATACTTATTAGGACTTGTAAGGGCTGTTTGCTCTCCTGGAATGGCCTTTCTCCTTATCCCCAGCACTGCCACTTCTCTTCTCCAGGCCTACTTCTAACTGGTCCTTCAGCCCAGCTACACGTGGGTATTTGTAGCTGTAGAGGCGGGGGAGGCTCTCAGGGGTCAACCTAATCTGGTTTCCCTGCTCTGGACAGCCAGGCCTGTCATCATGGCATGTGAGCATCGGGACAGACATGCATGGAGGGAGGGAGCTGTTGCCAGCATGGTAGTCACAGCAGAAGTTTACCTCATCTCGTGAAGCCGTGTCTATTTCTGCAGCCAGAGACTGGGCTTTGGTCTGAGTGGCAAAGAGGTTCTTTGCTTCGTAGAGGCTGAGGCTCAAGATCTGTCCATTCAAGTCATCATTCTGATCTCGAAGCTTATGGTTCTCCTATTACAAGGAGCACAAAGTCAGCATCAATCCCCAGAAGCATAGGAGCCCATCACTCTGCATTCACTGTCTCTTGACGATGACCAGCACCAGGCTCTCGGTTGCATGCCTCGGCCAGCTTAGGACTCCCTAAGCGAGGTGGATTTGCCACACTTGGGTGGGAGTAGGACCGGTTCCTGGTTTGGAGGCCTGGCACCAGGGAATTCATGTGGTTTTGAGGGGCTGTGTGCCTGCACAGGGCATGGTTTGTGGCTGTCCCTTCCTCCCTGGAGGATGGATGAGCCAGACCAGGAGCCCCTGTGGGCCTCGATGGGCGCACACCCACCAGCAGCTTTTCCCCCAACACCCATCCTTGGTGAGGAAAAGGGATGCTCTGGGATCCGTGCAGACAGTCAGCTCATCTACCTGGCTCTTCTCACAGCCCAGGCTCACAAGCCCATCTCTGGTAGGAAATCCTTCTGGAAGGATCCTTGTTCTGCTTAGTCAATACCCCATTTGCCAACTCGACACTCCTATTTTTGTTTAAAGGTTCTTAAGTGTTCACACTGGGGTCTTCAGAGCCCCTCTTGCATGAGAGAGATAAGGAGTTTTAGGACTGATGCAGAAGGCCGTGCATACACCTCTGCCTTGAAGTTGAACCAACTCAGAGGTGGGATTTATGCTGCAGAGCCCTACCCACAGGGTAAGGCTGAGCGGAGCCTCCATCCAGAAGTGATGCTCACTGCCCCCTCTAGTCTCATTCCTGTGCCCCATACTGGTCCCCAGTGAAGGAAGTGCACTCCACTTGACGTCAGACCTTGGGCTCTGGTCTATGCTGGAAGCCCAGTGTGGACACATAATAGTTTGTGTCAGGGCACAGTTTCCTTCTTCGAAGAGCCAAGGACAGGAGAGTACAGTAGAGTACTATCTATTTCTTTCTGTGGACAAAGAAAAGTCTTGGAATTTGCATCAGACCTAGCTTAGAGGTGAGTGCTCAGCCTGTAAAATGAGATGACCAGCCCTGACAATCAGGTGGCTGGAGGAGCAGACAGGAGTGTGGGGAAGGTATGGGCTACACTCATACCGCACTCACTGAGTGGAGCCCACCGGTTTGGATGCTGAGAGTCAGGGTGAGCCTCACCACTGGGCTCCCTTACCCTGCGGAACTCAGCTCCCAGGACCCACCTGCTTCAGTCGCTTGATCTCATGCTCCAGCTCCACCTCGCGAGCTCTGGCATTGAACTCGCCCAGCCCGGATGAGGCGCTGCGGCCCCTGCCTGGCCGCTCACAGTCCAGCTTGTACATCTGTAGATGCTCCAGCTCCTTCCGCAGGTCTTCAATGAGCTGCGAGGGAGAGAGGCCGGTTGGTGGGCGAAGTGTGCTGGGGGTCGCGCTGGTGGGAGCTCTAGGCCTCCTGGCTGGCAACCTACCTCCTGCGTCGCCTCCCGCTCCTTCTGGAACTCGAGGCGGTTCTGGCAGCTTGTCCATCATGCGTTTGTAGAGGTCCATCTCATCCTTGAGCCGCAGGCTGGTGTCCTCCAGACGGTCAGACATGCGCTGCCGCTCCTGGGACAGGGAGACCCCCAGTGAGTGCAGGGGAGTCCCAGGGCCTGGGCCTGGCTCTCAAAGAGGGGTCTCTCATGGCAAATGGAATCAGCCTTGCTTCTCTGGACAGAATCTTCCAGTTCACAGTTTAAAATAACCAGATGGTCCCCGATGATTCTAGAACATAGCTAGAAAATCCCAGAACTCTAATGTCCTTCACTGGTGCCAGATCAAAAGCAACTTGAAGAAACAGAAGGTGGCAGCCCACACAAACGCTAACCTCTTTCTCTTTCTTTACATTATTCTCCCCACCCCCCCACCTCCCACTATGTTGGAAAACACATCCAGTGTAGAAAACACGAGAAAACAGAAACATAGGAAAACCGCGCATCCTGCACGCTTTGTGGCCAACAGTAAACATTCCTGGCCCTTGCTGCCTGGCACCACCGCCTGTGGGCGAGGCTTGAGGACTACGTCTGAGACCTCCCTGGACCTGCGCTCACCTCATCCAGCTTCTCTGTTTGGGACTTGAGCCGAGTCACTGTCGTCCTAAGCTCCGTATTTTCTTCCTCTAATTGCTGCACCCTGGGGAAAAGAGGACAAATGTCTCAGAAGAGAGATTTGCTCACAGTAGATTGACAAGATGCACAGATTCTCTGTTAAGAGGAAGGAAGATACTAGGAACAGACATACACATACACACAGGGACATGGAGGGGGGTAGAGAGAGAGACAGACAGACAAATTGTCCCAAATGCTAACTTAGGCCTGAGCAAGTCATAATTTATGAATCAGACAACCTTAATACATCCTTATAAGGGGGCCTAAAATAATAAGGAGTTAATCTTTAGGATGAAGCGTTTTCCCGAGGCTGTTTGGGATAAGGGCCCACTTGTTACAACGAGCAGGCTGCAGGCAAAGATCCTCTTTTCCTTTTCAGTCCCCACCCAAAGCCAGGACTCGTCCCGGGTGCTCACATCTGCTGCCTCAGACACTCAGAGGCACCAGTTCCCACAGCGATGATCTGTGTCCTAAAGTACCTTCCTGAGGAGACAGAGCTGGATGCCGGCGATGGTTTAAATTACTCAGGAGATGTTCAGGTGCCCAGCTGTGGGTGGCATCAAGACAGCGCACGGTCATCTCAAATGACTGACTTCTGCAGGCAGTCATCCCCCCACCCATGTTCACTTTCTCCTTCCTGCACAGATGGTCCCTGGCCTCCGCAGTTTTCTGTGTTCCCTGGGAGAGGCCTCAGGGCCTGAGCCGGAAAGAGTTTAGACCTTCCACCCACATGCTGCTGACATGGCCTCACAGGGAAGCTGAGGTGGGGCGGTGTGAGGAGCACACCGCATGACTGTTTACGTGCTGTTCTGCAGTTCTGGAGTTGTGCAAGTGAGGTGCAGGTCAGGGACTGTTCCCAAGACCTGTGATCCATGCTCATGCTGTCTCCTTCCAACACCTTGTTCCAGCTACTTCTCTGAAATACTTCTCTGATGACACAGTCATCAGATGGAGAAAGAGAGCAGTCGAACTTAATGAGCTACCAGCTTCCAGAAACAGATGCAAAGCAGGGACTTTTAGAACATGACTGGAAATTTATAATATGGTTGTTGTTAGGTGCTGTCGAGTCAAGTATGACTCACAGCGACCCTATGAACAAAAGCTCTGAACCCTGTTCTATCCTGTGCCATCCTCACACTTCCCGACACGGAAGAGCACATTGTGGAAGTCACCCTGTCAATGCACTTGGTTTAGGTCTTCCTTTTCTTCACCAGCTTCCACCCTTCCCAGCATCATTTCCCTCTCCAAGGAACAGCCCCTCCTAGCAACACGCCCAAAGTATGTGAGGCAAAGTCTTGCCTCCCAAGAGCCCTCTGGCTACATCCTCCCCAAGACGGTGTTTCTTCTCTTGGCCAAGCATGGGATGTTCAATGCTCTTCTCCATAACCACACCTCAACGGCATCAATTCTTCTGTTATCCTTATTCATTGTTCAGCTCTCAGATGCATAATAAGTGATCAGAAAGACTATGGCCTAAATCAGATATACCTTAGTCCTCAAACTGACATCATCACTCCTCAATAATTTGGAGAGGTCCCTTACTGTAGATTTTCCCAGTGCAATGTGCCTCCTATTTCCTGACTGCTGGTACCAAAAGTGTTAACCGTGGATCCAAGGAAGATGAAGCTGTTGACAGTTTTAATCTCTTCTCCATCAATCATGACATTGCCTATCAGTCCAGGGGTAAGAACCTTTGTTTCCTAAATTTATAACGAAGCCCTGGTTAATCAAGTTAACAAAGCTGGTCTCAGATGTGACCTCAATAAGCAGGGAGATACTTGCCTGAGAACCATGTGTGGTCCAAGGTGGATGCCCAACTCTCAGTCATCAACCTCTGCCCCCCACCTCTCTGGGCCTAGAAGACTCCAGAAAGGCTCAGCTTAGAGAACAGAGCCTAGTGGGGGCCTGGAGTACCCCAGGTAGCTGCTCTCCCTGCTGGGGGGCCCAGGTGGCCTTCTTGACCTCAGTACGGTGGTATCACCACAGGTATCATATGTGCAAAGCTCTGATGTGCACAGCCACCAGGTGGCAGATGGGAAGGGGATGACTGAAGAAACTGAGGCCAAGAGAAGAAAGAAAATCCTGGAACTGGACAAGCCAGGTTCCCAGGACAGCACTCTTTGCTCTGTCTACCTTAAGATTCCAACAATGAGGCCATAGCTATCCCTGGAGTGCAGGGTTCCAAAGAAACCTAAGGCTGCAGTTCCCCATTTACTTTGCCGTCTAAGCCTCTTCTCCCAGGCCCAGGGTCTGTTAGCCCAAGTGTCTGGCGTCAGAGGAGAACCTGACAGCAGGGGGCGCTCTGAGTCCAGACATCAGGCCCAGTGCTGGATCAGGGTAGGGCTTTAGCTCGCACCTGTAAGATGGGTGGGTGTCTTCCTGGTGGGCCTGTACCTGCGGTGTGAGGGTGGCTCAGGGGGCAGCAGCTGTGTAGAAAGGTCCCGGCCCCCCAGTGCTGGCCCACACCAAGCAGGCAGGCCAGGACTCACCGCGTGTTCAGCAGTTCCACCTCGGTGCTCTTCTCTCTCTCCAGCTTGCTGTAGGCCTCCCGGTGCCGCCGCGCCGCCTCCTCCAGGGCCTGCTCGGCTGTGGTCTCCTGGTCCTTGACCACCTCCTCCAGCTCGTGCACCCTGGGGACAGCAGAACCGATCTGGGTTCAGGGTGACCCTGGGTGGCCTGAGTCATTTTATCCAACCCAAGCTGGGGTTACAGGGAGTTCTGGGTCCTAACGCCTTTAGTGAGGGAGTAAGGGAGTGTTTGTGACCACACACCAGCAGCTTCAGAGAGATACACTTGGGACACTGAGACATCTAGAGAAAGGAATACCAGCCAAGCTCGGCCGTGGAGAAGCAGAGATGACAGTGATGTCAAGGGGGCGAGGAGCTGTAGCTAAGAAGAAGGGAGTTCAGGGCAAGGGAAGGGGAGTCAGAAGGCCTTCCTATGGCCTGGCCTGAACAGCCTTCAGATCTCACCTCTTCTTTCCCCTATTCCTAGCTGGCCAATGCCCCACTAATAGGGATTCAGCTTAGTGGACAACTTGACTCCAAACAGGGCAGGTCCTGGCTAGAGACCCCAAGCATGCTAGTCTCGCCATTCATTTATTAGTCAGTAGCCTATATGGTACATCTGCCCGAGGATATTGGCAGAAGGGACCCCAGCAGGGCCGTTTCCCCAGTTCATGCCACCTTGTAAGGGTAGTTAAATTCCCTAAGCGCTGTCTCACTAACTGGGTTCAGGAAACTGTGTTCACTGGGCCGCTCTCTGTGGGAATGAGGGAAGAACAATGCCTGGCCCCTCCCTCCCATATACAATGGCTTCTCCCTCTACAGAGCTTGTCCTCCAGCTACAGAGGCCAGTTTCTCATGACGTGTGACAGTGACAGGCAGTAGAGAGGATTCTGAATCCTGTCTTAGACAAGCCCTGGGGATGCAGGCCTACGGTCAAGGTCAAGTTCTTGCTTAGCTCCCTATTCCCTGTGTGGGCAGGGCTGTACGATAAAGAGCAGATGGACCACAGACCCTAAGCTGGCAGGGACATGAGGGTACGTCCTCCAGGGGCTGTGGGAATAGGGAAGGGCCTCAGCCCCTCGGGCAGAAGTCGGGGCCAGCCCTGACCTGTGCACCAGCTGGGTGTTCTCCTGCTTTAGCTTGCTCTTCAGGTCCCCGTTGGTCAGGCTGTCATTCTCCAGCTCTGTTACTTTCTTTTCCAGGAAGCTCACCTGCGGCAGCGGGTAGAGGTGAGAACCTAGAAACTGCAGGACTGAGGCAGGACTTCTGAACGAGCACAAAGAACTAACAATCAGTCTGCTGAGGCGGGAGTTGGGGGCCAGTGTGTGAGTGCATGTGCCACCGTGAGGACAAACCCCCCATCCCTGAGTAAGTATACAGGTCCCTGCGACCCCAGGAAGCACCACACATGAAGCCCTTTCTCCACCCATCACCGGGGTCCCACCTTCTCCGTGATGTCATTGTCACAGGAGTCAATACTGTCCCTGAACAGGTCCTCGGTGCTGCCGTTACTGCTGCTGAAGTTGCTGTTGTGCATGAGCTGCCTGTAGGGATGGGAGAGGGGCCATGTGGCTGCAGGGACCAACAGAGGACCCGGGTCCAGATCAGGCTAAGGGCTGGGTGAGCATTAGTACCCGGAGGCAGTAAGGAACCGCTCTGAAGAGGCCGTCCTCACCCAGCCAGGGGAGGGGAGAGCTGCCTGGCCTCTGAACCTGCACACCATCAAGCTCCAGGGGAGGCCAAGGTGCTGTTATGCCCCTTTCCAACCCCCTGGAGACGTGGCCAACCACCACAGGACTCTTCCTGCCACCTCAGAACCCTCAGCTAAATGGTGCTTCAGCTGTCCCCACCCATTGATAAGAGCTGACACATGAATCCCCACCTTTTTCCTGTAACACAAAAACTGCCCAGTGAAGGCAGCCTAGCTCCACAGATCTGTCAGAGGGACAGACGCCTTCCTTGATGCCCTCTGTCACGCTGGCTCCTGTCACATCTCTAGTGAGGGGGTCTAGTCTCCAACAGGCCAGCGTCTTGGCCAAGAGGCTGTCCCACCCCCAGCTCCTGGGGACATGCAAAGGGCCCTTCCGGGGAGCAGGGCCTGGCCATTCAGTATCGTCAGCCTTGGGCGTGGTCCTGGTGCCTGTGTGCAGGGTGGAACCAGGCAGACAGCTGGCTCCATGGAGCAGTCACGGCCACATCTCCTGGACATCCCAGGTCTCTGCTGGAGGTCTCTCCAGAGCAGGAGGAGGGACCAGAAGTTCTGGGGTCTCTGTGTCTCCTAGGGCTTTCCTGGAGACCCTGCCTGATGTTGAGGCAGCTGCGGTTTGGGAATGCCAACTGCTGCCAGAAGGGCAAGAGCCTGGGGAGGGGGAAGCAGCCTTTCTTCTTCAGAAGTGAATGTTCCTCCCCCTGTCGCTCTCCTCTGCACATGAGGCTCACGCAGGGCACCGACTGGCTCTGGGATGCTGTCATGAAGCCAGGACAATGGCAGCAGAAGCACAGCCAAGGTGACAGTTCTCAACAACCCCGCCCCTGAGGGAAACTTACCGTCCGAAGGCTGTGCTGGAGATCTTTCTGTTGGGGCTAGAAGACAGAGAGAGAGAGAGAATGTCAATGAACAGACAGGTTCACGACTTCCTTACTCTGCTCTGATGGCAAGGTACTAAAATGCAGGTGACCATTCCCTCCCACTCATCACCCCAGCTCTGAGAAGAAACACTTGATTTCTACTGGACACTTCAAGCCAAGTTCTTCAACCTCAGGCATCAAACCCATTTCCTCTGAGAGCACCACTGTGGCCACAGGCCCCTATGCTGGGCCCTGGGGTCTCACCTGTTGGCCTTCAGGTTTTTCAGCCGGGCTTCCAAATCATTCAACAGATTGATTTTCTTGCAGCATTGAGAGCAATAAACATCCAGCAACTCACTGTTGTACACGTGTCTCATTTTCCGAGGCGTCTGCCCTGCACTGATTCATGAGAGAAAGAAATTACCTTTTTTTTTTTAAATTGAGATTTTACTGTAAGTTTATAAAGAATTTGGATTTCCATTCATTCACTGTTGCACCTTTTCCTCCCTGCCTAGCTCCTGCAACGTTTGCTTTTTTCTTTGAAAAAAAAGTTCTTTCATTGTTATACAGTCACCTCCCACCCAAAACCACTTTACTGTGTAGTTCTTATTCTGGACTCTTGTCATACCAATAATACTTAATCACATATTCCTTTTATACAGTTCTCTCCCTCGTCTGTTTCAATGCTGTGTACATTATTTATCTCCTCTTTTCTTAGTTCTCCCCCAAACCCGTATATCAGTTCTGTTCTATAACAATGGCATTATGCAATATTTGCCTGCTTGTGACTGAGATATTTCACTCAGCATAATGTCCTCCAGGGTCACCCATTCTGTGTAGTATTTCATGAGTTCCTTGTTTTTCACTGCTGCATAATATTCCATTGTGTGAATATACCACAGCTTCTCTAGTCATTCGTTTGTTGATGGGCACTTGGGTTGTTTCCAACTCTTTGCTATTATGAACAAAGCAGCAATAAACATGGGTGTGCATAAGAAATTACTTTCTTACCTGCTGTCCCGCTGTGGTGTAATACCCTGTCCTGTTAAGCCTAGTTTTGACCGTTATACTTTTACCTGATAATTGATAATTGTGTTTATGTGTGTGTGTGTAGAGAAAAACAGTATCAGATTAATCCTTCTCCAATACTCTCAAAAAGAGGAAGCCAGGGAATTATACCAATTTAACAGACAGAGTGAATGATAGGTAATGTCAGAGTAAGTCATTAATGATTCAGAAGGGTGGGTAGGTTCACAGCTCACAACCTTGAAAGACCCATCAATACCTTTATAGGAAGTAAAATCAAGAACTCCCAGTATGCACCCTCCCAACTTGGTATATTGTTTTGTGTTGCTTTTTTTCCAAATAGAAGGAGAAGGAATTCCAGGTCTCTAATCAGGATGATAGAAAGATAATTGATGCCTTTGAGCTGTGGTGCTGGAAATGAGTATTGAATATACATGGACTGTTAGGAGAACAAACAGGTTCAAACTGGAGAAGATGAAACTAGGCTGCTCCTTGGAGGCAAGGATTCTGAAGCTTTGTCTGACATATTTTGGACATGTTACAAGAAGGGACTGGTCCTTGCAGACGGACATCATGCTTGGGAGGGTGGAGGGACAGAGCAGGAGAGGAAGACCCTTGATGAGATGGATTGAGTCAGTCACTTAGGGCAATGGGAGTAGACGTGTCAAGAGACAATAAGGTTGGTACAGGATAGAGCAGGGTTTAGGGCTCTTGTACATAGGGTTGCTATGAGTCGCAAGGACTCGACGGCACATAACAACAACAATCAGAATGCAAACACAGCATATCCAAAGCCCAGCAAAGATGCCCAGTGCAGTTCAGCAGAAGGATGGTCCACTTGGGATTCTGCAGCCTGCCACCCCCAGGATGAGGCTGGATCAGTTCTGCCACTTTTCCTGAACCTCAAACACCATGCCGAACCCAAGTCACCTGGAAGACACTGAAGACCCCAGGTCTGAGTAGACGTTGGTCCTGGTCTCGTCATCAGGGCAAGGGCTGCTGGGAGCACAGTCCACATCATCGCCCTCCCCGTAGTCTTCAAACTGCTCCTCGTTGCTGATGAGTGAGGTGGTGGAGTGTGTGGAGAGGTCAGAGGTCGTCATGGATGGCGTGTGGCCCAGGGACCTGACGGTCAGAAAGAGGCCTGGTTAGGGAAGCTGCTGTCAACTAGGTCCCATCCACAGCTTGCAGCAGGGAAACTGGACCTTCCAGGTTACAGATCAGAAGACTGTTCAGTTTATATGTTTTCGGATACCTTTAAGACCCTATCTTAATAGGGAAATCTTACCACTGCCTAAGATATTCAGAAGCAATGCTACTTTGGAGTTGTGAGACCTTGGTTACCACATGAAAGCTGCAGTGCTAAATGATGGTGGTGGTGGTGGTTTTTGTTGGTTTTTTTTTTGGTTTTCATAGATAATTTGGTTAAAATCAATAGCCAGTGGTGGTGGTTGTTAAGTGCCATTGAGTCATAGACGACTCATAGCGACCCTATGAATGAAATACTTGAGCACTGTTCATAGAGTTTCTGAAGGCAAGCCGTTTCGGAAGTGGATGCCACTCTTGCTTGCAAGCTTGTCTTAATCAGGTAGCTCCACCAAACACCGTCCACCATGCGTAACCATTATCGCATTTGACATATCAGTGTCACAGTGTTCAGCATCACAGCAACCACGAGTTACTTCTGTACAGCAATGCACATCAATAAATTTCTTTACTAATAAATTAATAAATGACAGTTACTAAATCACAAATGAGGGAGCTCTGATGGCCTACTGGTTAAGGAACTGCACTGCCAACCCAAAGACATATGGTTCAAATCTACCAAGAGCTCCGCAGGAGAGAAATGGGCAATCTTCTCACGTGTGATTTACTGCCTCTGAAAACCTGCTGCAGGGTCAGCTATGAGTTTGCTCTGACCCAACAGTACATAACAACAAATTATAAAAAAGTGAATTAAACTACTGAATTACCCTATTAAGTTCACCAGTAATCCACTGCTGAGTTGATGTCAATCTAAGTGACCCTTGGTGTGTCAGAGCACAACTGTCTCCTGCAGGGTTTTCACTGGCTAATTTTGCCATGAAGCTCTAGTGGCCTCGTCTGTAGGGAGCTGTGCTGCCAATCCAAAGGTAGAGGAGCCTCTCTGATGGTTCGAATCCACCAGCAGCTCTATGGGAGAAAGATGGGCAATCTCCTCTTGTGCGATTTAGTTTCAGAAAACCCGCTGGAGGGGGTCAGTTGGGAAGAGGTTCTGACTGTACGGCAATGAGTTTAGACTTTTCAGGATTACTTTTCTTCTGAAAGGCCTCTCAGTATCCTTGGACTTACAAACTCTCAGATAGCAGCTAAGTGTATTCACTCTCGGCACAACCCAAGGATTCTATTAAGTTACATTAAGTTATCAATACTTGTTGAAAAGGTGGCAAGGAATATTGAATAGGAAAATATAAGCAAAAGGCTGGATGCAAATTTCCAGATGTGGTAAGACTGAATATGTAATGAAAAGTCTAACAAAGAAAAAGTAGGAAAAAAAAATTTAAAGTGGTGACAGGGCTTATGTTTGAGTGGTGGGACAATGAGCGACATGAATATTCTGTTCTCATATTTGGCATTTCTATGATTTCCTTTAACTGGAATAATGCTCCTTTTATAATGAAATTACATAAGATGAAACTAGTGAGATGTTGCTTTTGCTTTATCTGAAGTGGAGACCAGACACTAGAATTTCTGATGAGGTTAGTATCTAAGAACAAAGAGAAGAAGTACAATGCATCACCTGCCAAAATAATTTTCCTTTTGATTGTCATGTAGTAATTTCTGTGTATTATTACTCATGAATTGGGGTTTTTCCCAGCCTTGCTGGGCCGCCACCCTCAAAACCAGGAAGCTTGAAATAGTGAAAGAAAGAAGTACATAAACGGTTGGGGCAGAGGTTCTCACACAGTGCTTCTGAGGCAGCCTAGATTCCATCTCAGGATCCCTGTGGAAACGACTGACTACTCAAGATCAAGGCTCTTTCACACCCTCACCATATTTTAATCATTTAATTCATTTCCTTAGAACTTCAGGAAGAATGAATCCTGCTCTTTGGTTCTTTCTCTAGAAATTTTACTAAAACACTCTAGGTGTCCACTACCGGCTTGACTCCTGGTGAAAGATCTTCCCACAGCACAGAGATAAACAGCAAGTGCTCGGCCAAAAGGCCAGCGGGTCAGCTCTCCATGACCATTTGACTCTGGGCTGCTGAGTCACAGTAACAGCTGATGAACTTCCTCAATGAAGAAACAATTCCTCTAAGGGCCCCAATGTGAACATCATGACTCCTAGATGTATGGGAGTTTGAGAACCCCAACACCGAAAAAAAAAAAAAAAGGACTATCTGAATAATCATTTATCCTAATAAAATTTGTCATTTTGTAGGTAAAAATAATTTTAATTGGGAAGTTCCACAGGGATTCTGGGGTGTCAAAGGTTTAGCCTTCAAGAGGTCTTTCCTAGCCAATGATTAACTATTTATTTTGTGGGGAAGTATTTATTGTATCAAGGAGAGAGGATTAAGGCGGGATACAAGCCCCACCTTACTGGACATTTATCAAGCTCCTGAAACCTCTGGGATGTCTGTTTTCCAGCTATACTGCAACTTGATAGTCTACAGTGCTCACCAGTCTCTGCAAAACCAGCCTGCATATCTACCATCACGTGAGTCACTCTCCTGATGGGTCTGAGTCTCTGGAAGACCTTCCAGTGAACCACCGAACCCAGGGGACACAGAGGAGTGAGGGAACTGAACAAAGGAGGGACTGCCGATGTCAGAAATCATGGACCTACACAGCAAATCAACCGTTTGGGACGATGTAGACTCGGCACTTCTTAGAACCAATCTGCTGCTAATCTTAGTAGAATGAATACAAGATCAACCATAGTGAAGCTCGTCTCTTTTCCCTTTCCAAATCTCTGTGGGTTGTAGGTAACCATCACTAGGTTGCCACTCTCAGCTGCTATGGTTTCCTTTCTCAGCCATAATGGCACCTGCCTCTGTGACCCCCTAAGTCCAGTATCCTCTCTGAGATTAAGTGGGGGCTGTTTGGAATGGATCTCTTCCACCAACATCCAGCCAAAAGATGACGATGTTACCACAATGGTAAAAGCCATCCAAATATAATTTTTTTTAGTTGTGATTTGGCTGAAAGTTTACAGAACAAGTTCCTTAGCCTTTTTTTTCTTAATTCTTTTTTTTTTAATTTAAATTTGTTATTAATTTCAGTGAAAATTTACAGAGGCTTTGGATTTCCATTCATTCATTGTTGTAGATTTGTCCCCTCCCAAGGCTCCCCCCCACCAGACATTACACTCTTGGAAAAGTAAAAGAAAAGATTCTTTCATTATTTTACAAACCCTCCCCCAGGTCCACTCCACCATGTAGCCATCGCTCTAGACTCCTGTCATGACAGAAATACCTAATCACATATCTCTTTTAAACAGTTTTCTCCCTTCTCTGTTTCAGAGCAGCATACATTATTGAATCCATCTTACTCAGTCTCTCCCCAACCCCAAGGACAGTCCCATTCTACAACAGTGGCACCATGCAATATTTGTCTCTTTGTGACTGGGACATTTCACTCAGCATAATGTTCTCCAGAGTCAACCATTTTGAGTAATATTGCATGAGTTCCTTGTTTTTTAATGCAGCATAGTATTCCATTGTGCGAATATACCACAGCTTCTCTAGCCATTCGTTTGTTGATGGGCACTTAGGTTGTTTCCAACTCCTTGCTATTGTGAACAAAGCTGCAATAAACATGGGTGTGCATATATCTGCTTGGGTGTAGTTCCTTAGCCTTTTATAACAGTGGACTCGTACACTATTTGTTCTTTTGTGACTGACTTATTTCATGCAGCACAATATCCTCTAAGATTCATGCACATTATCTGCTGCTTTTTGAATTATTATTCTTTAAAGCTGCGTGGTATTCTGTTGTGCATATGACCATAGTTTATTCTCTCATCCATTGCTGTACCTTTGGGTGGTTTACCTTCTCTCTGCTATTGTAAATAATACTATAGGAAACATGGGTATACATATAACTTTGTGCTATAGCCTGTATTTTTTTGAATGAAAATATGACTTTTGAATAACATTTCTTACTTGGAGAGATCAGAACAGAGAAAATAGCAGAGTAATGTTAAGTAATTAAAATGATTATTAACTGCACCATTCAGAATTGCTTAAATTTTCTGGAATAATCTCTGCTAGGAAGTATTTCCCTGTGTATAGGTATGTGCATTTTACTGTTGTTTTTCATTTTTAGGTTTAAGTTTATAGAACAAATTGATTTTCCATTCAACAATTTATATACATTTTGTTTTGTTACATTAGTGCAATCCCCCCCAAGGTGACAATACTCTTTCTACTTCTTCCTTTTCATCTTGTTCTTTTTTCTATCTTCTGGCTTTGTTACTGGAAACACTGCTGCAAATGTCTCTATATGGTTGACTGTTTTAAGGAATAAATATTATAATTCATGTGTAAGTTTTCATAAAGCTGAGAGAACTCACAGACACTTTTGTAACTTGCCTTTAAAAAAATGTCCACTAAATACACCCATTAACTGTCTAAATAAAATGCCTGAACTATCCCTATTGTTAAGCATTAAGTTACCTGGGCTTTTACTATTTAAAATACTTATGAAACTAATGCCTTCAGTGCGAATCCCAAGCCTGTCACCTGTTCACTTCCTGGGGAGATGTTCTGAGAGCTGTGTTTCTGGGCCCAGAGGCCACCTGCTGGGCTTCACACTGTTTTAACTCACTTGTCCTCTGGCAGAAACAGGCCTCTGAGCCCCCCATCCTTTTCTTCAGCTGGACTCTCAACCAACACATCCAGGCTCTGGGTGCTTTCCATGGGACTGTCCATGTCCAACTCCTGTGGGCCCTCTGGTGGGGCCAGTGTCATTGCCTCTTCCTCGTCCTCAGGAAAGAAACTGGGATCCCCGGAGATGAGCTCGCCATCAGCAAAGGTGGGTCCTGGAACCTCGCTGCCCTGAGAAACAGAGAAGGGGACAGAATGAGCAAGGCCAGCTCCCAGGGTTCAGTGTTCTGGTGCAAGTGTGTGGACAGGGGTCCAGGTCTTGAGAACAAGCATAAGAATGCCAGAGTTTGCCTCAGGGGACCTTTCACATGGGCCAACGTGTTAAGAGTTCAGTTAGAGTTGACAGATGTCCCAGGACAGCCAGGTCTGTCACATTGTTTGGGCACCTGGTCAAGATTGATACCTTCAACACAAAGACTTGAGTAGAAGTCAAATGATTCCAAGAAGCTTTCTTAGTGATCAGAGAGGTAAAGATACAGCCACATTGAATGGCCTCCAAGGATAATGGCCTTGACCTATTAAGTAAGGACTGATGCAGCATAAAGTCAGGGAATTAATATGAACCACAATTTTCTCCTTCATAAACAGGGAATGGCAAAAAAAATCTTACAGGAACATCGGGTCCAGTAAAGAAAACAGTTCTTGTAAATACATGGCACAGTGACACCTCAATAATGAAATCATGACCATGGGATGTTAGCCTGGGAAGGCACATTTGGCCTTGGACACAGCTTCAACAATCCTGAGCAAGAACACCAGATCTCTAACTTCTGAACCTGGAGATGGGCTTGTTCTTGCTGGGTCTCCAGTGCCTGGCACATTGCCTGAGACAGTATACATTTGCCTGACCTTTTACTAAAACCATCTTATGGCAGAAAAACTCTAGTTTTATTCTAGTCTGAAAAGGAGGTCTTTGAAAACCATCTCTGAAGCTGGCTCACCAATCTGGGACAAGATACCTCCCCAAAGGTGCTGATTCCCACTCCCAAAAGGTCCATTTACTCCCAAGGTGCTGTGATGTGCTGCCCAGCTGAGAACAGCAAGGGCCTCATCAAAAGTGTTTCCCTCTCACCCCTGAGACTGTGAGAAGGGTAATAGGAAGGAAAATTTGGAAAGAAGATTAGAGACATCTCAGGGTCTCAGGAAGTTGGTAATTATATGGAGGTGGGTGACAGGTTTGGATCTGCATGCCTAGATGTGGGTGGTCACCCACTGCTCCTGACTGAGCAGGAAGCCTTTCTGGGAGTCAATCCCACCAGGAGGTCCCTGGGCCAAGAACAGATGGTGAGTGAGGAGCTTGCCTCTACCTGTGCCAAGACACCAGCTTAGTATCAGACAGAGAGATACCTCTGAATTTGGAGCCCAATGGGGTTTTGATCCTCTCTGGTGTTACAGTTCACAGGGAGTTGTGCTGTTAACACAAAGGCAGCGCCTTTCTGGGCTTTCAAATTCACCAGCAACTCCATGGGAGAAAAATGGGAAACCTCTTCCCATGCATCTTATAGCCTCAGAAACCCAGCGGATGGTCAGCTATGAGTTGGTTCTGACACAATGACAATGGGTCGGTTGGCTGATGCCTCCAGTAAGCTGTCACTGAACCAGTCCCACACTGCCCCACCCCCCCCATACACTGTTCCCCAATCCAGCTCTTCATCTGCAAGCCTGAAGCCACATCTCTACATCATCCTTTGCAGAAACAAAAGAAAGTCAAATTTATGGAGCAGCCACTAAGTTCCGAAGATGAAGTGCAGAGTGAATAAATATTCTCGTTAATGCTTCGTGAAAACTCTTCGGGATTGCTACTGTTGGCCCATTTTACTAACAGGATAATTGAGGCTCAGATAATGGAAGCAGCTCACTCAAAGTTCTCTAGCCAATTGGTACAGCCCATGACTGTCTTCAATTGCCACATGTCTGCTTTCAATGACAGCCCATTTCTGGATTGTCACAACTCAAAGACAATGAAAACGGAACTTTTTATCAGACCATATTATAAAATGCGGGCACTCTATCTACACTGGTAGCCAAGTGGCAAGAAGCTATGCTGTAATGCCAAAGGAACATGGTTTGAATCCACCAGCTGCTCTGCAGGAGAAGGATGAGCAATCTCCTCTCATGAGATTCACTCGCTCTGAAAACCTGGTCAGTTCCGACTCAAGGGCAAACAACAGCATCATCTACAAGGTGCTCTGGCTGGGTGGTTAGGAGTTACACTGCCAACCCAAAGGCACACAGTTTAAATCCACCAGCAGCTCTGTGGAAGATGGGCAATCTCCTACCGTGTGATTTACTGTCTCTGAAAACCGACTGGAGGGTCAGCTATGGGTCAGTTCTGACTTGATGGCACATAACAACATCTACTTCTATTTCCTGCCCACTTCCTGGGTTAGTGCACTCGATACCCAAGGGGAACAAGGCTGGCAAGGAAGGCCCTCTGAGGAGATCCAGAGTCAAGGAGACACTGAAGCAAGCACCTGGTCTACTTCTTCACCTGTAGACCTTGTGCCTTCCCAAAGTGGGTATTTCTTTTGAGCTTTGTCATACAGCCCCATGAACTGGCTTTCCTGGCTTCTTTTCTGCAGTTGACACAGGTTGCCCTAGGCAGTGTGGCAGTCAGTGGTGGGGCTGGGGCTGACACCTGGAGGGAGAACTGTGCATCCCCAAAGCTTAGAAGGTGCCCAGCACCATGTCAGCTGTAGAGCCACAGAACCAAGCAGAGAACAGCACCCATGTACTTTAGGTACCTGGCTTGACAACTCCTGTTTCACTAACTGGACACTAAGGCCCACAGACAGAGCTCCTGCCAGTCACCTTTTTCCACTGAGACATCCAACTCATGCGCACAGGTGGGAGCTTACCGGCCAATACCACCCACCTTCTACACCAGCATGCTGCATTCCCGGGCTGCCGGCCCACGCCCTGGAGTGGGAGCACTCACAGGCATGGCTGCAGGAAGGATCAGACATCCCCCAAGCATTTCCCTGGCACACAGGACTCCTAAGCCCCTTCTCAGATTTTCAGCCTCTTGCTGAGTACCGTCCACTTCTGCCTGAGTGCTCACATTCTATAAACTGTCCACTGTTTGTCAAGACAGAGATTATGTACCACCGTGTCTGACTGATATAGGGCAAAGATGAGGCTCAGAGCAGACAGGTGGTGTCTCAGGACTCTCTCTGTCTCAGCACAGAGAGACCGAAAGCCAAACTCCTGGCCCCTTAGCCTCCATCTCTCTCTCTCTCTCTCTCTCTCTCTCTCTCTCACACACACACACACACACACACACACACACACACACACGATTTTCTTTTCCAGTGAGTTGCCCGACCTACAAATACTTGCCCAAGGCAAGTGGAAACTTCAAAAACCATTACTAAGTTTCCCCCTAAATTCCAATTGTACAAAGACAGCTATGAGAAAGGCCACCATGTCTCTTGGGTTGTCCAGGACAGTACAGGTTTGAGCCTGTCCCTAGTTTGGCATTTTCCCCGGACCGTCGACATGGGGGCAGAAAGCCCCTGCATGCTTTGTGTGATTCTGAGCAGAGGCTGCCTAGATCAGCATAGAGAGGTTTTTGGGGAATGCAGAGAATTTAAAGTTTAATCACCTTGTGAGTGAAGAGGCAAATTCTGCTGCTGCTGCAAGATTCCAGTGGTGTTTAAGATAAATCCCAGGCTGATTCCTAGCAGCAGGGACTCATCCCCAGGCACTGGGGTACTTCTCAAGAGAGCTGGCTGCTTGGGGAGGGTTGGGGGGCAAGAGGGAAGAGAGAGCATATCCTCATCATCACTGGAGTTCACAGGCCCGTGAGTCTTTCCTTTGCTCTTGGCCACAATGTCAGCATCTGCATCATCTAACTCCATGTGCTGTGCTCTCCTTAGGGTGGAGGAGGTGGGTAAGATGCACCCTAGTCTCTGGCACCTACTCTGGTGGGATGGTGGGGTGAGGGGGGTGGAGAGAACCGGCCTCTTGAGAGAGCTATGTTTCCAGTATCCAGATGTCCATAAAACAACTACAAAAAAGACACTCCATTTACCCAGGAGTTATTCCTAGCACCCAGGACACACCCAGGCTTGGGACTCAGTGTGGTCTCTGAGATTTTCACGGAAAGGGGCGTCTGGTCTTTTGTATACCTTTGGGAGCACAAGACCCTTAGGACCCAGACTGGGCCTTCAATACCGAGCACCCTGTTCCCCTCTCCAACACCCATCCCCAAGCACAGGCAGTGACCGTGGGTAAGCCAGGCTGGGTCACCATCTTCCTCTCCCCACATGTCTTGCCTGTCCCTGCTGAGGGGTCCTGGGAGGGAAGGGCAGTAAGGTAGCCAAAGTTCCCCTCATGCCAGGCCCAAGAGACCCTTGTGAAGGCTGCCAGAGGGCACATGAACCTGAAGATTGGGGTCCAGTGCTGGCTGGTCCTGCCACTCACAGCCCTGTGATCAAGGGGAGGTGAATACCCGAGTCCTCACTTATCCATACAGTGGACTATTTCTACCACCTCAGGTGCTGCTGTAAGCGTCACGAACGGTCACACGAGCATCAGAGGGCAGGCAGCAGTGGGGGACCGAGTCCTGACTCAGACTCTCAGAGGGCTGCATGCTACAGTGGCTGAGCTGTCCCTATAGTCCACAGGGTCCTCCCTGGACAGCCGACAGGCTCCTCAACAGGCCAGAGGGCAGGAGGGATGACCTCCTCACAGAGGCTGGGCGTGGGGAATAACCGGAGGCCAGAAGTTTCTAAAGCTTTCTGAAATTTGAGGTTAGGGAAGCAGCCGTGGCCAGTCACTCTGGGAGGGTCAGGTGTGTGCCCCCAGCACCTGCCCCCACCTCCACCAGCTGGGGCTGAAAGGAGCTGGATATGGCTAGGAGCTGAGAGGCACCCTGTTTCAGTCTCCCAGGGCCGCTTCACTCTCAAGAGCCTCATCACACCTCAGCAGGCCCTGAAGTAATTTTTCCTCTGTTGGCTGCACAGGTGAAGTCCCTTTTCCCTCTGAATTTGATGGCAGCTGAGAAGGTCAAGATATTGAGGCACATGGGGGAGCTGTCTAAGCCGCAAGGGTGGCTGACAGCACCCCACTGTCTAGGCTCTTCAAAAGTGTGCACGGCAACTCATCTGGGCCTCACCCACCTCACCAACTCACACACGGCTACGGTGCATTTCCCTGGTAGCTGACCC